CCAAGCAGTGTGGAGGCAGCACTGGATTCTACCCTACTCTGCCTCGGAAAGACCAAATGTAGCTTTCTTGCCCATCCAGCAAGGCCTGTAGTAGGGGGCTGGGAGGGAAATTAGCCACCTACTCAAGCCAAAATATCATCCCATGCAGCATCCTAGGTGGGTGCTTCATTGCCAGAGCCCAGGAATTTTTTTTTTTGGGGGGGTACAAGTTGATTCCCTCAGCCCTACTGAGCCCTGGACGCCGTGGCAGGAGCAGCCTCCGCCGAACAGAGTGTCAGCATCTGACTCATGGCCTCGCAGGACCCCGCTTAGCAGAGGTTGCGTAAAAGGGCTTGATGGATTAAAAGGGTTCCATGCAGTGGCAGCTCTAAGCCAGCATTCTCGGGCAGGACTCTCCCTGGCGCAGGGTGTGTCTGTGGGACTTGGGGGGGGAGGGGGTGGTAAGAGGAGGGCCCCCTCAGCCCTCTGAAGCGGCACAGTGAAGTCCAGAGTGCTAAACTGGGGTTCCCTGCTGGAATAGGCATGGATCGTGTGCTCCAGGTGCATTTTACTCCACAGAAATCCTGCCTCAGGTGGAGCACGAGTTCTGGGAGAGTCTCACTACTTTCCTCTCCCCCACTCTACTCCCTTTTTGTGGTGGCTTTTTTCTGAATGGGACCGGCCCTTGTTGGCCAGATAGCATCTGCTTCTGACCTTGTAAATGTGCCTGGTTTCTGAGGTTTTTTTTTTTTTTTTTTTTTGTTCCTGTTTGCCTGCGGCCAATGAAACTGTGGCGACCGATAGAGATCGGGCCGTTACTTGATGGTTGTGCTTGCTGAAGTCTGTGCTCACTGAATTGTTGGACTTACTGGTCTGGTCTGTAATTGCCAGGATCACCTCTAGAGCCCCTTTTAAATATTGGCATCATGATAGTATCTTCCAGCCATTAGGTATGGAAGCAGATTTAAAGTTTAGGTTACAAGCCACAGTTAATAGGTCCACAATTTCCCATTTGAGTTTTCAGAACTCCTGTGTGCATGCCATCTGGTCCTGGTGACTTGTTACTACTATGTTTATCAATTTGTTCCAAAACCTCCTTGAATGATACCTCAATCTGGGACAATTCTCAGATTTGTCACCTAAAAAGAATGACTCAGGTTTGGGACTCTTCCTCGCCATATGAAGACTGAAGCAAATAATTCATTTAGCTTCTCTGTAAATTGTGTAGCAAAGAAAGCTTCTTCCTGAAACCAAGGCCTGGTCTAGACTTCAGACGTGTCACTCATGGATGATTTTCCTCCCCCTGCCTATTTCAGGCTGCACCATCCCTGGGGCTGTACCCAACTAATGCCAGGTGTAGACCTAGCTTCTGTTGACTTAGCTACCATTGCTTCAGGAAGTGATGTTCTTTGGGCTGGAAAAAGGACTTGTGCTGCAGGGTTATAGCAATGGTGTCGCTATCGCCTTGCTAGTGTAGACAAACCCTTAAGGTCAGTAACTTCAAAGGGTTTGGAGGAACTGGCTCATTTAAGCCCGGTTTTGAGCCTCAGAGGCCAAAAATCAGACTGGTCCTATCCAGAGAGTTGAAGGGACATGAATGACCTCCCTAGAGCTGGACTTTCCAGTCAGTCTGTGATGTCTTCTCAGATACTCAGAGGGTGGGCAGTTGTCCATCTCGGAAGAGGGAATCTGGCCACTTTCTCTGGTGTTCTACGAAGAGTGAGCTAAAACCACGGTAATACTGAAAACCTATGAATTAGGGTTGTCCATCGCCTTAGTGATCAGCCGTAAGCCCCGCAGCCAATTTTGGCCCCGTCCATCAGACTCTGTGCAGAGCAATTAAAAGGGATCAGTTATGACCCATTTTAATGCTTCATTATTTTGCTACTTCTCTGGCTTTCCAGACACTCTTGCCAAATAACTGTCAGAGGCCTGAACTGACCTTTGCACACCACTCCAAACCCTACCTTCAGTCCTTCCTTTAAAGGCTGAGAATCAAGAGCCACCTGCCCTCTGAACATTTGCAGTGCCAAATAGGGCACGGGGAAACTGAGGCACCAAAACCCAGTTGTCACGTCACAAACCTTATCCATGGGATCCAAGTATACACATTTTCCCCCTGCACCATTGTAGCATTCAACTGTTATGCAACACTTGTCGGGTATTGCAATGAGTGGTACCAGATCCATGAAGGCTGCTTTGATTTAGAAACTTCAGAGGGGTAGCTGAGTTAGTCTAAATGGAAAAATTTAAAAGTCTTGCAGTCTTGATTTAGAAAATCTTTCCCACTCCCGTATCTCTCTCTCCTCTTTCTACTAGCTTAGATTTGTGCATCTCGCCTGATTGTGGATGTGTCAAGGAACCCACCATCAGAGCAGATGTGGTGAATGGTGCATAGAATTTGCTGCAGCACTTAAACCCTGTTCAAGTAATTTTTTTTTTTTTTAAAGCTTGCTTAGAGTGCCACACAGCTAGCTGTCTGCTAGGTCCAATGCCCCTTAAGTTGAGGGCTTAGAGCATTTTATTTATTGTATTCTCATCCATCACCTTAATTTGGTAGAGCTGGTCTGAGCTTTCCAGACATAGTTGGTTTTATCCCTTTGTTCCCCCTTCAGTTTACTTTTTAGACAGTCCTGAAACCAAGAAGCTTAGCAGTTAACAGCGCACTCAACTGCCCACTGACGCTCTCTTGGAGTGAGCAAGATCCATAAACAATCAGGAGAATTTCAGATCTCTCCTTCTAGGGGTACTGACTTACATGAAATGGCTTGTGTCCCCTCGCCCCCCCCCCAAAAAACCCTCCTCCCTAGGGGGTGAACTGCTTGCTTGGTAGGGAGAATCCCTGTGCATGCCTCCTAAAAACTAACCTGGGTAACTAAGTTTTTTTTTTTCAATTTTTTCTTTATTTTTTTAACTCAGGAAACGACTCCTTCTCCCCCTCCCCACTGCCTACTCTTTGCTGCCTTCCCCCCCCATTTTGGGCCTGGTTAGGGGTCTGTGTCGGTTACAGAAAGCACAGCATGTGTCAGTGAGGGCAAACGTCCAGCCCTGCCTTCGCTCTGTGTGCGTCTGTGCAGGCCTGAAACATTCCAGCAGGCGTTCAAATTCTGGCTTGCGCAATTCTTCCTTTTTGGCTGGGGGAGAAATGCATCTTCAGGTCCCTGGAAACCCGGTATAGTGATTCCCATTGACTGCCCTCTTCCGGCCAGGTGCCAGTGCTGTCGGAGCCAGCCACGGGTAGACAAGCCAACAAACAGCTCATGCCTGGAGCAGATGTTCCGGCAGCTTCTTTACTCCCTGGGGCCGGTGCCAGCCTGGCCCGTGTCCAGCAGCCAGTCACTCGACACCGGGAACAGTATGCGGGCTTCTTTTGTTGCACATTGTATGAGGCAAGGGCCGGGTGCTTGGAGAAGGGGATGGGACACCTATTACCTCCTCCCTCCCCCTCCCATTTTAAAGTTCCTAAACTTTAAAGGAATGAACCTGAAAACTAAAACCACTTGGCAGCAGTGCCTTTTCTGTAGGTCTGAAGCTGGGGGCGTCAGAGGGGCTGGCTTATTGGCTTCCATGCAGCAATGGCAGAGCTATAAGGCAACCCATTCTGGGTCTTCCCTCTGCTCCCCAACTCCTGAGGCAGGGCCCCTCCAGCCAGTGCCTGGCACTTGCCACTAGAATGCCGGAAAACAGTTGCCAGGCTCAAATGACAAGGGCTCCTATTTTTTCCCACCCCTGGTCTCTTCACAGGCTGACTGGGAATGAACCCCTGACCATCCTCCCTCTGACCTCAGAAATGGAGGAGGCTGCCGTCAAGGCCCACTACAAAGTGTGCGACCGCCTGAAGCTGGAGAAGAAACAGCGCAGGATGTGCCGGCGGGATCCCGGCGTGGCAGAGACCCTTGTGGAGGCCATCAGCATGAGCGCCTTGGAGTGCCAGTACCAGTTCCGCTTCGAGCGGTGGAACTGCACCCTCGAGGGGCGCTACAGAGCCAGCCTGCTGAAGAGAGGTAAGGGAGGGCCTGTGGGGTGGGATTTCCTCTCTTCTAGAGAGCACAGTGGCCCCCAAAGTGGGGCCTTGTAAAAAAGGAGTGACATGGGCCTACGCCTGGATCCAGTCTATTGGTGGCAGAAGTAGGATTTTTCACAGATGGATTCACTGGGCTAATTGGGGGGAGGGATAGCTGAGTGGTTTGAGCATTGGCCTGCTAAACCCAGGGTTGTGAGCTCAGTTCTTGCCGAGGCCATTTAGGGATTTGGGGCAAAAATTCATCAGGGATGGTACTTGGTCCTGCTGAGAAGGCAGGGGACTGGACTCAATGACCTTTCAAGGTCCCTTCCAGTTCTAGGAGATAGGCAATCCCCATTATTTTAAAAAAAATATCTCCTTTTGTCTTAAAACCCAGGTGTTACAACAGGGTAGAATTTGCCCCAATCTGCTCCCAGACTTTAAGGTAGTCAAGGCTCCTCCTAACCCATGAACCTTTGTGAAGGGCCTACAAAGTACACGACTTGGCAGCCAGCGTTTTGGCCTACTAATCCCCTTCTGAAACGAAGGCATAAGAGCAAGATGGGCCGAGCGGCTTTGTTTTGTGAAAGGGAAGCAAAGGCCAAAGGTGGGTGTAGAAGAAATGCCGACTCAACATTTCCTTCAAATCCTAGTGGAGAGTGAAATGAAGTTTTGGCAACTTTTTACTTTTGGTCCTTGTGGCTCCAGTCCGGAATAGGGATGTAATAGTATGGTCAATTAACCAATAAGCAAAAGCTTATAGGTTAATGCTATAGACTACTTGCATTTCCATCTTCTTCCTTCCTCCCTCCCTCCCCTCCCCCCGCTTGCCAGTAAATATTTTAGCAGGCTGGCCAGCAGCCCAGCTCAGTTCTGGCTGATGCCAGGCTCAGAACCTCCTTCTGCTGCAGCTCTGCATTTAAAGTGTATTAGGAGCCAGACAGGCAGCCTGGCTCAGATCTAGCTTGTGCTGGGAACCAGAGCTCAGACCCACCTTAGACAGGGGCTCCTGCCACCCTGTTCTGCTGCCTCTTTATCCGAGGCAGCAGCACTGGGCAACAAGGGGACCTGTTTAAATTGGCTCCACTCGTGGACCAACTCCTGCCTGACACCTGCACTGCTGCCTCTGTTACAGCGGCTGCTGGCCCCGCCTCCAGAGACTACAGAATAGTCGATTAATTCTTATTTAACCGATCTTTTCCATCCCTAGTCCAGAAGCGTTCAGGGAAGCTATGGGTAGCTCTGCATCCCTTGGAGAGAACGGAGTAATGCTAACCCTGTCTTCTAGCTTGAAGACTTCCCATGCTCCCCTACCCACTAACCCGGTTTGGCTTGGGAGTGGGAGTGTGTGAAGTCTTTCCCCTCACCTCCAGGTGCCCTATAGTGCTGTTTGCCCCTACTAGGGGCAGGAGACTTCAGGCACTCCCCTTTCCCCCTCCCGGTTTCAATTGGCCTGAGGGTGGGGTGGCAGCAGGAGGCTCTTACCCACCTTTGTCTTAGAGTAACTACTATAGGATCCTGAGTTTTTGTGGATAAAAACAAAGTGGGTTTTACCCACACTGGCCCTTGAGCCTGTTTTAGTCGAAGGTGCCACTCGCTACTTTCGTAAAACGCTCTCGCTTGCTGGAAGTACCCCGCTATCACCGCTAACAGTTGAAGCCGCCTTATACTGACCCCTGGAGGCCAAAACAGCCTGCTCCTGCCAGCTGAAGGCTGGCAGGGTAATGGCTGCCCAGCCAATACAAACAGCTTGGGTTTCAGCTGCCCAAAAGTGTGGTGCATCCTACCAAACAGCCCTGAAGATTCCAGTCACCTGTCCCCTGCCTCCATTGCACAGGGTTTCTCTGCAGTTTGTGGCTCTTCATGGAGGCTGTAAATCCTGTGGACATTGTACCTGTAACAACACACATTGGCCTTTGAAACTGCCCATAAGCAGGGTCTGGCGGGAGTTCTAAGTTCCTTTTTCGGGCATTGCAAGAACCAATACTCTGGGGCAAGAGGGAACATGCATTATCTAGTGGTCTGCACTTACTCCAAGGGGGGGGGGGGCTCTTTGTGCTACTCTGTAACCCACACAGCTAGTGTGGTTCACTGTTCCATGCAGTGGCACTTAGACCACTTACAGCAAGAGCTAAGAACAAGGGAGCTCTACAGCCTAAGCTGGGAGCCAGCTGGCTTTATTGCTCAAGCTGTAGATGCTCCTACACTGAGGTCCAAGGTTCAAATACACCTGGTGGCAGTTAGAACTTGGTTGGCCTGATAACCAAACACAAGCTCTCAAGGACAGCTGTGCCTGATCACTGGGTTGTAACTTCTAGCTAAGTGGTCCTCCTTTTAACCATAAAAAAAAAATCCCTTTACCTGTGTACTTGTTACCCTTTTTGGAGACTTGCAAGTGATCTGGAAACAGCTGAAACTGGAGCACAGTGGATGGCTGGCTTTCCAGACACTCGAGGCTAGGATGCCAGCATTGATTTAGCAACTACTACCTTGTTACAAAATACCTTGGTGCAATCCAATATTGGGCCACAGAGATGGCTCTAACTCTGGCCTGAGCCAAATGTCACCTGAGCTGCCGGACAGATGACACCCAGGCTGGGGGGCATTGGGAATCCTTCCTCCATCCTTTGAGATGGGGGACTAAGGTTTTATGCCGAATGGGCAGGCTGTGAAATCGGAAGAAAGGGAACAAGCTGACATGGAAGTCTTGCCACAGAGCGCAGTGGTGGCAACATGCCAGCCACACAATCCTGTCTTACCGCATTCATATCAGGCAGCTTTCTGATACCTGCTTGCATTGCCTGGAGCCTAGGCAATTTTATCTGGGGGCCCTGTTGCACTCTACGCCCAGGGTAGTGTTGTATTGAGCAGTCAATGCAAAAATGCCTGCTTTTCTAGCAAGTTATTGCTGGCCATGCCATGTAGGTGGCACTTTCTCGAGCTGCAGAATGCATCTTTAATTTCCTGTTCCAGTGAGGGTAAATGATCGGAGTGATAGCTGAGATAAATAGGATGAAGTTTAAGGACCACTGTGAAGTATTCCACTTAGGAAGGAACAGTCTTTCACACATACAGAATGGGAAGGGACTGTCTAGGAAGGAGTCCTGCAGAAAGATTTAGGGGTCAGAGTAGACCATAAGCAAAATGAGTCAACAGTCTGACACTGTTGCAAAAAAAGGCAAACCTGATTCTGAGATGCATGAACAATATTGAACGGAAGAATGACTTCCTGTATCTTGCTCACTACTATGCGCTCGTTAAGCCTCAATTAGAGTGTGTCCAGTTCTGGGCACCCCATTTCAAAAAAGATGTGGAGAAATTGGAGATCGTCTAGAGAAGAGCAGCAAGAATGATGCAAGGTCTAGAAAACATGAGGGAAGACTGAAAGAATTGGGCTTCTTTAGTTTGGGGGGGGGGGGGGGGGGGAGAAATGACAGCAGTTTTCAAGTATGTAAGAGGTCATGAGGAGGTGGAGTGAGGAAATTGTTCTTTTGTCCTGTCCTCAGAGGCCAGAAGCAATGGGCTTAAACTGCAGCAAGGGTGGTTTAGTTTGGACGTAGGAAAAATTTCCTACCTGTCAGAGGTTAAACACTGAAATAAGTTGCCTGGGGGGGGGGTTGTGGAATCTTCATCACTGGAGATATTTAAGAGCAGGTTAGACAGACACCTGTCAGGGATGATCTAGATAGTATTTGGTCCTGCCATGCGTGCCGGGGACTGGACTTGATGCCCTCGCGCAGTTCTTGTATTCTGGCTCACTGAGGGCTCCATGCGATATACTGTTGCACATTCTCACGTCTCTACTTCACACTGGTGTCTGCTGTTGCTGCCAATAATCTGCCATTCCAAAAGCACAAGCCGCAATCGCTAAAACATACCCCTTGTAGCTGGGGAGAGCCTGACCCATGGCTGGGCAGTTTGGAATCCCTCCAGTAGGGGGCAGCGGTACTTATACTTATACAATCGTATTTACACATGATGTAATGCATACAACATCACTCCCTAGGCCTGAGTTTCTTAAGGCCCTTACAAGACTGCCTCATTGGGTAGTCCAGGTGTGCGGGCACAGAGCTTTGTGTTAACAAGTACTTCAGCTGCCAAAAAGTTTCCTCACCCTATGCTTCCAGTAATCTCTGCCAAATCCAGAGTAGCCCCCTAGCCTTTTTGACGGGAGCCAGTTGCACCCAAACGATTGTGGCTGATGTGCCCTCTATGAACAGCCCTGACACTGTTACTTCTCGCCCATACCGGGGCTCCATGCAGGGTAATTCTGCTGTTCACACATACAATTATCTGAAAACTCAGCCCTTAATTTCAAGTCACATAAGTCTGAAGCAATGCTGTACTCACAACCATAGAGCCTGGCCCTCAGTCCATGTCAATTGGCGTCTCATGGACTCATAGACTTTAAGGTCAGAAGGGACCATTATGATCATCTAGTCTGACCCCCTGCACAGTGCAGGCCACAGAATCTCACCCAGCCCCTCCTAGAATAATCCTCTCACCTATATCTCAGATATTGAAGCCTTCAAATACTTTGAAGACCCCAAGATGCAGAGAATCCTCCAGCTGTGATCTGTGCCCCATGCTACAGAGGAAGGTGAAAAGCCTCCAGGGCCTCTGCCAATCTACCCTGGAGGAAAACTCCTTCCCGACCCCAAATATGTTCTGTAAAGCCCAATCTTTCAGGGGTGTCTCAGGCAACTCCAGTTGGGATTTTGAGTGTGGATGCAGCTCTGAGAAGATCGCCTGCGTCAGATGGGACAAATTGTGAGGTGGTAAAATTGTCTGGGCAGCTGTCCCCTTCGGCTACCGGCCCTTGAGTGTGATCCGGCCGGCCGGGTACTGGGATCAGGAACAGCCAGAGAATGCTGCAGTATATCGGGGTGGGGGATTTCAGTAGATGCCAGCCTCTCTGCAGCTGCATATAAGGGGAGACCGGCTTTCTGTAGAGAGGTTTAGCTCTGGCCTGCAAAAAATGGAGGAATGCAGTCCGCCTGCTGCCAAAGCACGTCCTGCTGGCTAGGTATGGCTGCATTCTTGCCATGTGGTGCTGATGGTCACTCTGCAGTGGAGAGGGTCTCTTCCCATGAGTCAGCGCTCTCTTTAGAGTTCTGCTCTTTGGCTCGGTCACTGTGGTGCCTACTTCCAGGGTCTGTAAGTCTCACAGGGCCAGCTGTCTGACAGGCACCTCCAGCAGCCCTGTGCTACTTCCCCGGGGCTGGTAGGGGAATCCCAGGCCCACTCTCTACACTGGGTTCCACCCCAGAGACCCAATAGCCAACTCCTCCAGTCTCCTTCCTTACTCCAGTTTCCCTGGGCTTCTTCCTGCCCTGCTGTCTCAGGTATCCTTTACCCACAATTCCTCTGGAGTTGGGGCCTTCCAGGACCTGTTCTTCTCAGCCTAGGGTTCCCTCCTTCCCAGTCCCTTCTCTGACTGCGGCTAGCTCCCCTGCACCTTTTTCTGCTACTACAGCTTCTCCCCACCCCCATCCCCAGCTGGGTCTCATCTGCAGTTAGTATCAGTCCCTGGGCCTCTCATCAGAACCTTCTGGACAGCTTAATCTTTCTGGGCTAGTGTGGGATGAATACTGCATTGCATAGGGCTAGGATAGGGTAACACCCTGGTCTCCAAGTGCTTCACAATCTCTATTGTGTTTATGCTCCCACCACCCCACTGAGGTAGGGCAGTGCTGTCCTACCCATTGCCCAGATAAGAAACAGAGGTGCAGTGACATGCCCAAGGTGACAGAGGAAGTCTGTAGCAGAGCAGGGAATGGAACATCACCAGTTCAAGGCTAGTACCACTGGGCCGTCCAGTGGTCTACCTTGCATAGAGCTATATCCCTGGATCTGGGAATGCGCTGGCTGTGCTAAAACTACTGCATGGAGTCTCGCACTGCTAAAAGTAAGCTGGCAGTGGCTGTGCATCTCTGGGTGACCGAGCGGACAAACATCAACTCTTGCTTTTCTTTTGAGTTTTCCAAGCGGGGTTCTTGAGGTAGCATCAGAACAGAATTCCGGGCTCATCTCCAGTGCGGTAGCTCTGTTCTGATTAGCCTTGATTCCTAGGTCCCCTGCTGTCTCCAGCACCTTAGGTTAAGTGATTTGGCCCACAAGTGTGTGTCTGCCTCAGTTTACTTAATTCTAAAATGGGCACAGTTGCTATATGGCAGGGGATGCACAATAGACTTAACAGGTGACTGACTGAAATGTAGCAGTGCCTCTGTCAGTCACCCTCTTGCCTGCTCAACAGTGAGTCTTGGGTGTTATAATATTTAGCTAACTTGTTTCCTTAAACTCATGCCTTTCTGGAGCAGAAAGTCTTGTTCCTATTCTTCCAAATTCTAAAATGGGCACAGTTGCTATATGGCAGGGGATGCACAATAGACTTAACAGGTGACTGACTGAAATGTAGCAGTGCCTCTGTCAGTCACCCTCTTGCCTGCTCAACAGTGAGTCTTGGGTGTTATAATATTTAGCTAACTTGTTTCCTTAAACTCATGCCTTTCTGGAGCAGAAAGTCTTGTTCCTATTCTTCCAGCTAAGAGACTGCCGGGGGGGGGGGGGGGGGGGGGGGGGGC